ACCCACTGCACAACTGTCAAGGACCAGCCCCACTGCTAAGTAATTTTCTGTGTGTGCTGTTTGATCATCACGACAACTTTGCCAAATAAAAAGAAGTTTCTGAAATAGTGTCTGTGACATAAGAAATAATAAATGTTAAAATGATTTTTGTCCTTTGGAGTTCAAGGTCTTCTGGAACCCAATACACTGTTCCCATTCAGTCATCCCCCCCAATCCTCAGCAGCATCCCTGAACCTGGAAATCCCTTTTCTCACCCATTCTTGAAGGAGACACTAGCTTCTCCATCCAAATCTTTCTCAGAGTTGAAGGTCCTGCCACATCCTCTCTTCTTTCAAATATGCCCTGATTTCACTGATCTCTCTCTTCTTTTTTTAGTGCATATTATAATTTGAATTTGTATATAATTTGGGTTTGAATGTTGATTTTATTTTTCAGTCATCCTCAAATGATAACATGTTGCTGTCTGTGGGGTAGGCACTGAAAGAACATGTTGAGAAAATGAAGGGATGAAGACAGAGGAGGGAACGTGAATATAAATGGAGAGAGACGAGAGGGTGTATGTAAGGAAACATGGGGCACGTTGGAGGTAAAGGCTAAAAATAACAGAAATCAATAAAGCTGAATGTGTGCTGGTGATCAGTCATCAAGATTAAAGGCTTATTGTGCTATTGTTGTGAAGGTGAAATGGAGTTCCTGATTAAAGAAGCATCATTGAAATCACAAAACAAAAACCAAGCTCATGCAATAGACAGCAAAGGATGCCAATAATTCACTAATCATCTCTTCCTCCTGTGTGTTGCCGGACCATAGCAAGCAAATGGAAAAGGACAAGAAGCCCTCATGACTGAGTCATAAGGACAGAGATCCTCCTAATGGCCCCTGTGTCTAGCATGGCAAGTGTCACATCTCCTAGGAACTCTGCTTGATGACCTTTGTTCCTGACACATCAGCAGATAACTTTGGTCCTCTTACCATCACACAAGGGCCTATGGATGTCACGTTAGAAGCCACTACCCCATTCTCTATAAAGAGAACACACTAAGATGTCCTGGGGGAGCATTTCACCTCTCTGAAACACTCTTCCCCTGAGGTTCACACCTCCCAGCTCCCAGGTTGACCCCTTTTCCTGAGCTTCCCCTTGTACCTCATCCTGTGCATTGTACTTTGATTTGTAACATTCTCAAGTTTAGTGAGGACAGCCCCCAGACTTTGCTCTTTTAGTGCCATATGCTCCTGCGGTGTGTATGCTAAAAAGTGCAGCCACTTGCTGCCAACCCACCTCCAGTTTTTCTACACAAGCCAAAGCTTCCCACCCAGATGGTGCCATTTTACTTGAAATGCTTGAGAAATTTTGTAAAGCAACATGGATGAAATAGAAAATAATGTCATCTCCTATCAGAGCCACAAAGCTACCTTGTTTTTTCACCAGAAGATATACAGTGAATGACATATAGTTAGAACTGACTCATGTTTTGTGTTTAACTATAAACAATTACCTGACGGCTCACCTGGATTGTCTCTGAGGGTAAAGGTCTACTTTTAAATTCACATGCTCACAGGATTCAGTCCCAGGTAGTCCCTAAGAGATCATCAGCAAGTATTGATTGAACACATAGTTTATTCATCACTTTTAGTTATACCTGGGATTTCTCCTCTTCCAGTGATGTAGATGTATAACCATGTGTCTTTAGAACCCTGGAAGGGAGGTTTTGCCCTGACACCTGACATCCCTTTCAGTTCCTCCCACTGAGGTCCCACCTCTCATGATGCACACAAAGCACCTAACTTACCTGCACAGAACTCTTCCAATCCATGAGAGAAAAGCTATACATCTCAAATGCCAACTAGAAGGGAAGTTGTTGTGAGAATCAGTAAGACACTTGAAAGTCAAGGTACTGGATTAAATTATAAAGTGCTGGAGATTGATGGGTTTGAATTTCTGCTATGCCTTTTATAACTCTGAGAATTCTATTTATTTATTTATTTGGTACCAGTGAATGAACTCAAGGGTACTTAACTGCTGAGCCACACCCTCACCCTTTTTTATTTTGAAATGGATCTCACTAGGTTGCTTACAGCCTTGCTAAGTTACTGAGTCTGGCCTTGAACTAGTGATCCTCCTGCTTCAGCCTTCTGAGCTGCTGGGATGACAGGTGTGTGTCACTATACCCAGCTAACCGTGAGAATATTTAAGGAAATTCTGTGATTCTTAGTTGCCTAATCTATAGAACAGAGATATGAACATTTACCATGTGGAGTTACTATGAGGACTAAATGAGATAAAGTCTGTGGAATGTATGGACAGTGCCTGACACAGGAGCTTTTTGAAATAAGTGGTTATTATGATTGTTGTCCATGCTCATATTTCTCATTCTAAGACTGGATGATAGGATTTGAATTCTGTATAAGGTCAATTTTTATGCAGTTCTAGACATCTATTGCTTATAAATACCTAAAAAAACTAAAAGCAAACTACCTTTAAATATTTTGTGACTACTTTAAGATACGTTTTATTTTATGTATGATTCTGTCAGTTTTTCTCCAGTGTATTGGGTCTCAGTCTTCACTTTTACTCCTATCTTTTTATATTCACACTGAATTGGGTAAATCTGATCATGAGCATTACCTATAACTACAGTCCTCTGTTTGCTGTGCTAACTGGTGGCTTCCCACCATATGTATGAGTTTGAGAACAAAAATTAAATTAGACATGCTCTTTGGATCAGATTCATTCCATTGATTATTTCTGGAACTCTATGGGATAAACATTATATTTTTCTGTTTTATAATTGGAGAAACTGAGGCTCAAGGTGGACAGTGAGCCTCTCCTATAGTTTGGATCTTGAATGTCTCCAAAAGTCCATCTGTTAAAGGCTTGATCTTCAGGGTGGTACTAGTAGGAGGGTAGTGGAGCCTGTAAGAGGCGGGACCTAGTAGGAGGACTGGTCATTGGTGGTGTGCTCTCGAAAAGGACTGTGGGTTCCCAGCCCACTCATTGTACTGGTGGTGAGGTGAGCAGTTTGCTCTGCCATGTCCTCCTGCCATGATGTGCTGCCTTGCTGCAGGCCCAGAGCAAGAGGTCAGCCAGTTATGAACTGCAGTCTCTGTGAGCCAAAATAAGCCTTTTCCCTTTACGAATTGATTATTTCAGTTATTCGTTATAGGGATGAAACAAACACTAACATGACCCTCTAAAATCTATATATTGTTGGAAGAAAAAAAAAAGACTTAAACACAGGATTCCCTAACGTTATAAAGCAAGGACTGGTAGTCTAACTTCATAAGAAAGAGGGAAATATAAGGGTCACAAAATCTGAGAGTAGGCACCAAAGATATTGCCTGGTGGAATCTTGGTCAGTAGCAGGAATTTGGTGGTGGGAGTGGGAAAAAGTGAAAGAGTACAAGATAGGTGTATGAGCTATATTTTTTTCAAACATAGAATCATATTTTTAAATTTTATTTATTATTTATTTATTTTTGTATTACAACTTTTAATAGAATCACATTTTTAAGAAAACAATATCCGAGGAAATCACATTTCAGTCTTCCCCATTAGAAACTTTTGGCTCTGAGTAGAAATACTTGCTTGACACACAAAACATATTTTTAAATAGAGTACTTATTTTCTAGATTAAATCACTCTTTTAGTAACAGAACATTGAAATGGACACCAACCCAGCCTTTACAATGCTTTTCCATCCAACTATGAGTGTATCCACTTCCTAACACGATGAGAAGGGAGAGGGGGATTGGATGGGGAACGTGGGCATGACTCTGGGGGTGAATTGTGATCCTATGAGTCAAGCCATCGGCTGCCCTTATCTCATGAACTGCCAGTTAGGTTTTATGGACCCTATTTATCAGGAACTGAAACTCAGCAAGTCACATAGTGAGTTCAGACTCAGAACAGTAGGACTTCACGTTAGACTATTCTGCCACTAAGGGAAGCCAGGGTTGCTCTCTCACTGAATTTTAAAAGATGTTTCTCATGTGGAAATTTATATATATAGAAGGGGGCCCAGATGAATTAACTGTGAGAAGGTCTACACATCTGGGGTGTGTAGAAAGCAGTGGATTTCCCCTCTTGGTCTCTTAATGCTGTATGGATTTCGGAAGAAGCATTCTCCAAGCAAAATAAGCAAAATTCAGTTTTAGGTGAAAATGGAATTGCTCTAAACTTTTGTTATAATATAAATAATTTGGACTTAAAAGCAATCTTTGAACCTATGTTGAAAATTACTGTCTCCTTCATTTAAAGATGAGACAAATATGTGTTGTAAAAAAAATCTGTTGAGATTGGAGTAGAGATAGAATTATTTCTCCTCTGCTACAGAAGTGCTGTGATATGTGTAAGACAACTCAGTCCAATTTATTTATAAAATACACTTAAAATGACAAGCTAGTGACATGCTGAAAAACAAAAACCAACAAATCTAATTTTTTTAGACATTGCAATTGGACATTTATAAGAATCAAAAACCATTTTGCATGTTCAAAAGATAGAATAATTACAATAATTAATTTCTTAAAATAACTTCTAGGAGAAAATGTTTTAACTTTGTTTTACCCAAGGAAGAGAAAAGGATAAAGTGTCTAACATGCTAAAAGTCAAACACCTCTGTCGAATTAGAATTAATTGTCAGTCACAAAATAAAGACCTTTACTAAGTGCAATTCTGTTGAAAAGATTTATGTAATCATCTATTTATCTACCAATGCTACCTTCATTATCTTTTTTTTATTAAATATTTAAAATAATTTTTCATTAAAATATTTTTTAGAAAAACCTCTAAAATAAAAAACTCAATAAACTCAGAGATCTCTGCCAAGTTTTCAACTACTCTGACTGTCTGGAACACTCCTTCTAGATTTACACAATGATATTTAAAGAATAAGTAAATAAATAGGCAAAATTAATAACCCAAAGTAGTCACAAACACATTCACCTTATGACTTTGACTTAAAAGATGGAGAAAAATGCTATTGCTTCTTGTCTTCTAGATACACAAAGATGAAGACAGCGACCAACATCTATATATTTAACCTGGCTTTGGCAGATGCTTTAGTTACTACCACCATGCCCTTCCAGAGCACTGTCTATCTCATGAATTCCTGGCCGTTTGGGGATGTGCTGTGCAAGATAGTCATTTCCATTGACTACTACAACATGTTTACCAGCATATTCACTCTGACCATGATGAGTGTGGACCGCTACATAGCTGTGTGCCACCCTGTGAAGGCTTTGGATTTCCGCACACCCTTGAAGGCAAAGATCATCAATATCTGTATTTGGCTCCTGTCATCTTCTGTTGGCATATCTGCAATAGTCCTTGGAGGTACCAAAGTCAGGGAAGGTAAGAATCATCATTTTCATTCCATTTATTAAAAAAATAACTTCTAATTATACAAATTTTAAATTTGGGAGCAAGTAGGGCACATATCTAGTGGCACATATAAAAGTAAAAAAAACAATGAAAATATAATGTCTGATTTTATAAAATCATTCTGTGTTCCTTTCCACCTCTAATGCAGAATGGGATATCAACATTACCAAGACACAGATACCCACCATCTCCTATTCTGGAAATGCTTATCAGAATCTGGATGGGTGGAATGAAGCAAAAATCTACAGGCCTGTGGATTCTGAAAATATAATCTGGCAACTCCATGACACACTGCTCTTTCCTTTTTTTTCTCTCCCTAACAAGAAACTGAATCATTAGAGACATATGCTAGATCTCTTCACCTTTATCCTTCAGTGTTAATCTCCACATCATTGTGACAGCTTCATTGGCTGTAGGCCATTCAAAAATCGAGTCCACAGATGGATAGTAGTTACAGATGAGCACAACCATTCAGTTTGGACATATTAGTTCTTGCCCCATGCAAACAGGATAACTGATGTTTTCCCTGTATTTCTGGGCTGTATTTTAGAATACCCTAGGGACTTTAGAATATACTGCCACCCAAGTCCTGCCTCCAAGGTTTAATTGACCTCTAGTGTGACCTGGTTGTCAAGATTTTTAATATCTCCTAGGTGACTCTGACCTGAGCCAAGGTGAGAACTACTGTTTTTGGAATAATTTTGCTTTAATAGTAAAAGACAAAGCTATGGAAAATATCTTTGGTTTTAATAGAAATTTGCTGAGGGGAGGGCAGCAGAACAACTCACTTTGAACTTTATAAATGCTATTTAATGTTTCCAGCAAGTGTCTGAATGATCCAGTTTATTAGGGAGGTTTGTGATACCTGTGATTACAGATAATTGAATATGCGCAGCAAAGACTTTCCAGGTAATAGTAAAAATATAGGTGCTAAAATAATTGTCACTTATCTTGCGTTGTGCATGCACAGCTTGTCTTTGGTTTTAGACAGTTTTTTTTTTAAGAGCAGTTTTAGGTTCACAGCAAAATCGCATGGAAAGTACAGAGTTCCCACTTACACCCTATCCCTCACACAGGCACAGCCACCTCCGTCATTAACATCCCCGCCAAGTCCAGAGCACAAGTTAGGTTCATTCTTGGTGTTGTATCCTGTATGGGTTTGATACATTATAATGACATGTATCCATTGTTTTTAAACAAAACATTATTTTTCATCTAAAACTATAAAATGAATTTCCAGCTCAACCACAGCCAATGAGTGATAAGCTCTAATACATGGCAAATTTTAAGAAAATGCCTAATTTTCTCTATTAGAGAAACATTTAAAAATATGATTAATCACATGTTTTCTTGCCTACAGCAAATGGAAATAAATTACAAGAAAGTCTTCTGACACTGAGGTGTTTGTATATCAAAACTCCAATTTAAGAGCAGATGCTGCTGTTAAACTAGGAGAGTGAGAAGAATGGCCTAAATAATAAAAGAAGATAGATGATTTTCCCAGGGCAAATAAATAAACAATTTTTATATTTCATGTTACACTTGTAGACTTATCCACTGTATTCCTTCTAATCTCTGTCAGAAAATGACATCCTAGAAGAAATGGATTTCAATTAGGCTTTTGAAAGAGGAAATGAAGATAGATGCGGTTTTTCCAGGAAGGAGATGTTGTAGACAAATGTGTGCAGATGCAATGGAAGAAAAGATACACCAATGTCAGCAGAAGATTAATTTGTGCAGCATAAAAAAGAAAAATGGGAGAAAATTAAAGTAGTCTTATAGGAGGGTTCTGTTCTTCCTTTCAAAAAAAAATTCAAAAATAGATTTTGTTGATGTGATGAAAGACCGCCACATTTTCTGCATTCATTTTGGAGCGTTGTAGTGCATGCATGTTAGGACTCTTAAGGGGAAGTCCAGATATGCTCTCTGCACTGGATCAGGGCTGACTGACATTGGTGGTTCATAGTCTCATGTTTGTAGAGAAGGTTCACTGAAAGGGAATCAGTCATCAATCGCATTGGAATACACACACCTGGACAAACACTGGCTCAGCTAATGCCTCAAAGTTTACAGTATTACTTTTTTGGTAAGAGTACAGATTATGGAAAAATCTGCCTGGTATTGGATCCTGATTTCACCATTTACAGGCATTGTCCCTGTGGAACTGTCACTTAGATTTTTGTGCCTCAGTTTTCTCATATGCAAAATAAGGTTAACAGCAGAGCTTACCTGTTCAGGTATTTTTCAGATCTACTGAGTAGATGCACGGAAAGCTGGCAAAGTGGTCCCCCATGTGAAGTAAGTACTTGATAAATATCAGCATTGTTATCCAATAGAGTGGCCTTTCATAAGTCCAGGCTTATTGCTTATGTTTATCCACCTTTGTCAGGATATTCATTCAATACTGAGGGCTCTTTTATATAACAACATTTTCACTCTATAAAGAAAGAGTGATATTCTACATATTGTATTTTACATACTGTGTTCTACATCTGATATTCTACATATTGTAGGTGCACAAATTATATACTTCGATAATTCATAATCTGACTCTTACTGTTATTATGATAGCTAAGTATTAGTATAAAAACCACAAGCATAAATAGCATTGTTATTAACCAAAAAGGATACACACAAGAAAATCTTCAGTTTGGCTATAAAATCTAGCTCTGTAATTATGGAAGCCATAAGATGTTGGAACACGTATCAGTGGAAGCTGAGGCCCTTTGATATTAATATAAAAGAAAAAGAAAGACTGCTTTAATTTTTTTGATTCATGCATAATAACTCTACGTATTTATGAGATACAATGTGATGTTTTAATACCTGTGTGCTCTGTGGAATGATCAAGTTGGGTAATTGGCATATCCATTACCTTAAACATTCGCATTTCTATGTGGTAAGAAAATAGCTCTTGCTATTTTGAACATGCATTGTTCACTATAGCCAACCCACTGTACACTAGACCTAGTTTCTTTGTCTACTTGTAACTGTGTACTTGACCAGCCTCTCCCTAGCCCATGACTCCCCATCTCCCCACTTTCTCGTAACCACTTTTCTGCTCTCAACTTCTAGGAGATCAGTTTTTCTAGATTCCACATATGTGGAGTTACGCATTATCTGAGGAAAGACTAATTTTGGAACTGTGGAAATTGTAAAGACAACCTGAAAATGTATAGTTTTTCTGGAAATTGGATTTTTAATGAAAATGGCAGATTTGGACTAGAATTTCTTGATGAGTACCTCTTCTTGAGGTTTAAATTCCAGTTCATTGATATTTCTGTGTGATATTTCCAACTCTACCATCAGTAATTATTTCCTACACTGCTGTAAAATTGGCTATTGTTGATTATTTCACCTGTTTATCAAATAGTTATTGAATTCCTCCTCCATGCAAGATGGTTAAATGATGATTCTGAATCATACAATAGCCCTTATATTGCTTTGCTTGACTTAGGCAGGTGACTCTGGCATATTCACTACTGTAAATAATATGTATTTTCAAGGTTTTGATATTCACGTGGAATATAATTGTTTATTTATTTTAAAACATATTCTCTATGCATTATGTGTTCCAGGCATCACCCTTTGCTAAGGGTTGAACATTGGCTAGGTTCCTATCCTAAGGTTCGTTACATTCTACATTGAGAGAAAAATATTAGGAAACATAACACATAATTATGGATTGATAAAACTTTTGTCTAGGAAATAGAGTGAGTACAACACATAGGGTAATTTGTAAGGGAAGGACTGAGAGAGACTTCTACCTAACTGCCTCTGAGGTGACATTTAAACTGAGGACAAACATGAGAAAGAGATAATGCAGAATGCAAAAGTTAAGCAGGAAATATGCCCCCCCCCAAAATGTATATTCTGACCTTCAAGGAAACCATTACCAGATTCAAGAGAAAAATAAAAATCTATAGTAGGATATTTATATTAAATTGACATTTAAAAAATACTATCCACCAAAAGTTTAATAGATATTTTTCTTTCTATAACAGTGATGGTAAATTAAAAAGACAGTATTTTAAATAATTTCCTATAGAAGTTAAAGCAAAAACTGAAATGATTCCTTGTTAGTTTCTGATAGTCTTCATAGAAATAGTACTTTGGAAATGACTTTTTAGGGAATCAAAATGACCACTTACTCTGGGAGCTTTCATTTACTACTTAAAGTTCAAAGATTTTTATGATAGCCATCTTTATTGGTGTCCAAAGTGATTCCATATTTTGTATTTTACAGTACGTCTACTTGAAATTCTAATAAGAGACATTTAGTTTTGGTAAAGCCTATTTGATTAAGATCACCATAAATTATTTTTGAACCCATTTATAATACAGCGGTTTTGTTATCTTAAAATATATTTCTTGTGCTATTTTTTTGAACAGATCTTTTCTATGTCTAAATAAAATATTTTTAAACAAAAGTGACACTGACAGTTCTGTTCATGACTTCTTCATCTGTGAGGGAGGACACTGCAAAGTGAAATCCACATGTTGTGTGCTTCCTGACTGCTCAGGGGCAGAAGGAGGTGGGGCTGGCTGGCCTTGGGGGATGGGAAGTCTGGGGATGTGTAAGTGGACTGCCCCACCCCATGAAAGTAATTTAAAAACTACTGATCCTGGGCCTTTTTAAATATTAAGGTCACTCCAAGGGAATTCAATCTATCGAAGAGAAGCAGAGCAAATTAAGTCATTTTCTAAGCATATGTGTACACAACACACACACACACACAACACACACACACATGCACACACACATGCACACACACTTGTTTTATCTGAGTTACATAGTAATGGTAAAAATGAAAAATGTGCCTGATTTATTTAAAGTTCCCTTGATAATGATGATGATTCTATTCGTATTTCTTTGTTTCCTTTTAATCTCCTTCTCCTTCTTTTTGTTCTTCTTATTCTCCTCCCCAAATTTATTAATGTTTCAGCAACCCCCTTAATCATAATGAGCATGCTTGGTTCCCTTAAATCACAATTCCTGGGTCATCAGGTAGACAAATTTCTCCATCAGTTTTTGTGGATCCACATAAAGCGGTGGATGTTTTTCAGATAAGTTGGTATTTGTTAATTCAATGGCTAGATTTGAAATCTTCAGTCATTTATTACAAATAGACATTAGCTTTAATTGCCAGAGCCTTAGGTCTGGGAGAACTGCTAATACACAGAGATGCGAATAAGTGCCAATGCTATAAACTCACAATATAGCTCTCCTGAAAGCCAGCAATGCCAAACCGACTTTCACAGCTCGATAAGTCATACTGCTAGCTAACCTTATTTATTCTGTTAAGCATCGTATACCAATAAATGGCTGTTTTCTAGCTTCTCGGTTTTATGCACAATGATAGAATGGTTACTATAATATGGCATCTATTCCTCATTTGCTTGAGGTAACATCATCGCACTGTCATTGGACCTTTAAATCAACGGTATTCAGATGCACATTTAAAACATTTTGTTGCAGGCAACACTAACAATAGGCTTCTCTTTGCGGTTCTGGTTGTCTCCTCTAGATGTGGATGTCATCGAGTGCTCCTTGCAGTTCCCAGATGATGACTACTCCTGGTGGGACCTCTTCATGAAGATCTGCGTTTTCGTCTTTGCCTTTGTGATCCCCGTCCTCATAATCATTGTCTGCTACACCCTGATGATTCTGCGCCTGAAGAGTGTCCGACTCCTTTCCGGCTCCCGAGAGAAAGACCGTAACCTGCGCAGGATCACCAGGCTTGTCCTGGTAGTGGTGGCGGTCTTCATCATCTGTTGGACCCCCATTCACATTTTCATCCTTGTGGAGGCTCTGGGTAGCACATCCCACAGCACAGCCGCCCTCTCCAGCTATTACTTTTGCATTGCCTTGGGTTACACCAACAGCAGCCTGAACCCCATCCTCTATGCCTTTCTTGATGAAAACTTCAAGAGGTGCTTTAGAGACTTCTGCTTTCCCATCAAGATGAGGATGGAACGTCAGAGCACGAGCAGAGTCAGGAATACAGTCCAGGATCCCACTTACATGAGGGATGTGGAGGGGATGAATAAGCCAGTATGACTAGTCGTGGAGATGTCTTCCTATGGTTCTCCAGGAAGAGAAGAGTTCAATGATCTAGGATTTACCCAGATTACGACTGCAGTCTGAGAGGAGAAGATGGGTGTTTTTTTTTTTTTTTTATAAACATTTAGAAATTTCATGGTCTGAAGATGCAGGCTGCATGAGAAACCCAGTCAGTGGAAATATCCAAGGCTGTAGGGATGGAGGATGAAGGGTCCGAGGCACAAATGCAACTCTTCTCTACAGCAGGCAAGCAAGGCTGATTCCCAGTTCCTTTGATGAACAAAGAAATAGGACTTTTTCTTCTGGTTTCCTAAATTTAGTTCAATCCCCATTTGCTGTGGCCTTTCTATGCAATGTGGCTTCAAAGCTCTATTTAGGAAAAAATAAATAAAAAGAAAAAAATTACCCAAAACATTAGTTTCAGAACTGAGTAGCATCCAATTCAGATGTTCAACATGGACAGCAACAATCTAAAAAAAGAATGAGAACCATTTTCAGTGCCTAGCTAACTTTCTGCTGGGTAGACCCATATTCATGTGGCTCTATGGAAAAAATTCCACCAAAGTAGGAATTGGACCCACAAATGAGGCATTTGATAATCACATATGACAGAACATTGTCTTGACATTTAAGAACTTATTTAAACATGCAAAATGTGGTTTTATGTTAACATAGACTAATATCTTGAAAACTACAGTTGCTAACTTTTATTTTAGCATGCTATTCAGATAAATAATATTCTGATAAAGCATGCATTGATATAAAAAACATAAAGTGGTTTAAATGCCACCAGAAGTGTATATGATTTCATCTGTAAATAATAGTCTATGTGGAAACAAGAAATGGGCTTCCTTTTCAGCCAGGACATTTCCCAGGAGCACACTAATGATATCCCTTGCATTATTAAGAGTTGATACTGACACATTTTGCTGCAACATAAACTAGTCTCTGGAAGTCAATCATGAGGGATTACTTTCAGACTCCTGAACACCATTTAGTCCTTTAGTCATGCTCGTAACACGTGTTAACAAATTCCCCAAACTTTAACTCATTCCCAGGTTGTAACCTTGGCAGGATCTATTGTATTTGTGGAATCTCTTTGTGGATATATAGGTATCACCAGATTCTCTCTATTCATGGAAGGTAAGGTGTTTTGATTATGTACATCTCAAGGTATTATTTGTGGCTTTCAGCAGGGAGTAAAATTGTTCCTAAATGTGTGCTGAACAGGGACATTATGTCACTCAGGGTTCCTGGACATAAGTTGCAGGGTGTTCTGTGAAGGGCATGCCTGCTGAGGATAATGCCATAAGCAGTGTATTTAGGATAATTTTGCTAAAACTTCCAAATGACATATAAATTCTCTCTTTCCCCCTGAAACTTATGGTTTCAGAGGTAATGGCTTTTTCTGTAATTTGCCTGGAGAGAAGAAAGGGATAATTTAGAAATGACACCCATCTCGAAACCTGTATCTTATCAGGGCAGCACCTTTTGGAATTTACTAGGAGAATTTAATGTGTCGCCCTGTATAACTGTAGGTTATTACTACATCTCGAGTTTTGTTCACTGTATGCTTTCTCTCAAGCATATATTCCCCTTCCATCTGGAAACAAACCCTTGCACTAAAGGTTTTACCTGCGGCTTCATAGTTGTACATTGATCATGTTTGTGTCCATTCTAGATCTGAGCACCGATGGTGTAAGGCAACGTGGAAGATATTTTTCCTAATGAAAATGAAGAGAGCTTTTGAACATTTCTTAAATTTTAATGAAAATTCCTAGGTGCTCCTGTAACCTTGTAACTGGATGTAGATGATTAAATATTGATTGATGTGAACACAGTATTTAAAAATCCTGGCTACTATACAAGCAGGATGTCTATAGAGAGAGGAGTTCCAGGAACAAACTCTACTGAAAGAAGAAACAGAAAGACCTTTTTTATGAAACAGCTAAACCCAGTAGATTTTCTTGGTGGGTTCCCTCCCAGAACGAAAATATAAAAGAGATATAATTTGGGGATGAAATTATGGTAAAGTTCTCTTTAAATTAGCATACCACATGCTCCTCAAGCGTTCATTGTCATTACTGAAGTTGGAATCTTTCTCTGATAACCCTGCATCTCATCATGTGTAAGTTGCAGCCCAAGGAGGAAGATAAGTAGCTTCTGGATTATTGTTAACACTGACTTCCTCAAACTGAAGGAAGAGAAGGAAGATGCAAATGTCATTTTAGGGTACTGCTTTAAAGGAATGATAAAGTGAATTACATAGGGTAGGAAAAGTACCCCTTCTATAAATGTGTTTCTTTGTCCAAAGCATGTCTGTTTGCATGTATGTGTGAGTGTCAGTGTGTGGGCTGCTGTGAAGAGCGATCGTACTGCCATCCTTTCATCTTTCCAGACAAAGCATTTGTCCAAACCTCACTGCCTCTCAGATATCTCCTGATGTTCCTGTTCTCCCACCTCAGCAAGAAGGGCACTGCCTGCTGTGTCTCTGACCTTGAGATTGACTGTCTGTGTGAACTCTTTCTTCCTGTGCTTATAACAACTTTGGGAAGACAGGATGTAGTGAGGGGTCAGAGAAAATGCAGAGAGATGAACCAGCCATGCAGGAGTCAGCAGTGAGGAGGAAACTCACAACTCTAACTGGGACGAAAGTGGAAAACACTCTTAGTGCCCTGGTCTGCTTATGAACCTAGGATCATCCCCTATGCAAAGAGTTTAGGGTCAGGGCTTACCACTAAAAAAGAAGTGCAGTTTGAAAATACATTTTGGGAAGAAATCAAGAAATTTTCACAGACAACTTAAGAAAACTGGTTCCATTCTGTGATATATTACTGAGAAATAAACTTTTATTAACTTGCATCAGACCATTTATAGATGTTTCATCTACTACTAGGACACAGATGAATAACTGGAATAAAAGTAACACATTGACTGGTTTTAAATGAGAGCATTGTAAGGAAAATTGTGGCAAGGTTTTATGTCCGCTCAAAGAGATTTCTTTTCTAAGCAAGAGTTGTTTGGATGATTCAGCATAAATAGGAAAATCCCATCCAAAAAGAGCATAAATTACTTGTGCCAAGATGATTTTCTTCTCTGAAAGAAAAGTATATTCATATATTCATTACTATATTGTATATTATTTATATCTAATACTTTTAGAAAGTGGTAATTATGCATTGTATATATGACTGTGTGCCTTGCAATAAAACCAAAATCATACCTGCTAAAAATCACAATAGTCTATTACTTAATAAATCACTTATTCTTCAGTGACTTCAGTGACACTGTACATCATCAAGAACAATGTTGTGTTTCTCAAAACTATAAGTGTTGTGTTAACTTTCCATTCACAACAACACTGTGGGTGATTAATGGAATGGAACAAAATATGTAATATTCTAAACTATTAAAATAAATTCCCAGACCTGAGCTGGGGTTGTGGCTCAGTGGCTTGCCTAGCACGCATGAGGCACTGGGTTCGGTCCTCAGCACCACATTAAAATAAATAAGTCAAATAAAAGTATTGTGCCCATCTACAAATAAAAAACAAATGTTTTTTAAAAAATTCCCAAACCTATGGAATCACTTAGGAAATTCACTTCTCATAGTAACACTGTCAGGATACAAGAACTGATGTTAAATACTGACCTCCCAATGAAAATCAGCTTTTTCAGCGTGAAAACCATGCAAACTTCAAAATTAAGCTGTCTTACCAAAATCAAACTCAACCTACAAACACATTTAGCCGTCTGTCCTGGGGTTGATATAACCACACCATTGCCATGAATGTTTTTAAACCTCATGGTATTTGTACAGATGAACAAAGAACAATTTTTAAAATCAGTGTCTTGACAAAAGAAAGATTTTTTAAGTGGAAGCACAAACTTAGGGAAGTAAAAAGGGGCCCATCTTGCCAAGTGGGAAGAACATACTAGCAGATAGGTTCTCATTTTAAAACAACAAATCTCTTATATTGTTTATCATTGATCCATACAATATCATAAGTAATTGGAGTGCAAGTGTCTCATGGGATTCTACCTCCAATATTTGGAGGAGACTTTGGTCTATTTAAAAAAATAGTGACAAAAATAAATTGGAAATATATCAGGATATGAAGACATAAATAGTTTTTCATTTGAAATAAGATCTCTTTTGCTGGATACTGAATCTTTGGGTATATAAATGATTGTGTATGTTGAATGTGACTAGAAACTTATTTTCTATGGAAATTGTTAATATATTTGTAGAGAAAACTCAATATGCAACAAGTTTCAGGTATTATGATCACTTCCTGGACTATTTTGCAGGACTCTACATTCTTTCTGATGTTCTCTGAGTTTGGGGAGACTAGTGTTGACAAAGAAATGAACATTATAATTGAAATGTTTTCAACAACTGGTGCTGGAGAGAATATTATCATATGTATACTAGAAACTGATAGATTCTGTATAAACAGAGATAAGCGAACCACATACTCTTTTGATGTTTGCATTCTAAAGAAAACAAGAGATTGAGCCAGTAAATGCAGCAAACTGCAAAAGGGGAACAAATCAGTAGAATGTAATCATTTCTAGAAGGTATGCTATTCATCTGCATAGGTATATTTTTTTTAAATCACCTTGCTTATAACTTTATATTATATTTGGAATTACCACAAAAGTTAAAATAGCAGTTATCTCAATATTTGAAGATAGTTAATTATTATTATTTTCAATTAGCCTCACTGGAAAAAACACTAGATTCAACTAGTTCTACTTTCTTACAATTCTAAAATGGCATGCGCCTGAATTCCTTGCAGGGGGCTTCATATAGTCATCTGACACAGTGTAGACACATGCAGTTTGGTGGGTAGTGAGGACATAACTCATTTTTATTGTCATATATCCTTCCCATCAATTAATGTGAAACAAAATTTGGACATCAATGTGTCCAAAGAGAGCCTGACAAATCACAGGTCTTTATTCTTCCTGCATAATGAGAAGCCTAATCCAAGGACTTTGTTTTCTTCTCCAAACCTAAGTTATTCATGGATTGTCTCATCACCATTGATTGGTCCCCTCTGGAAGTGAGAATTTGTATTGGAAGGGGAAGAACTGGCTTTGTTACTCTTTCAACCAAGGAGATAGCACATCTGGTATCGGGGCTCATCTGTGCTATAGCTCAGGTACCTGAAAACCTCAGATGATGGAAATAAATGGATTTAATGCTCAAATGAGGATATGAGGGCTCTCTTTCTCGCTTGATTTATTTGTTTTGTTGTCTTCTCTGTTGCTTCATGTTTAGGCCATCTCTCTCAGTGTGGTACTGACAGCTCCAGGCTCACATGGATCATAAAGCTCATAATAACTTAGAAACACAGTTATCATATTTCTCTCTAGAACTCATCTATCCAAGGAAGTAGATTCTAACTATCCAATTCCTGAATCAATTGTTATTGCTGGGAGATGCAGCACTCCATTTGGCCAGGAGTAGGTTATATGTGCCTGTGTGTATTAGCAGGGAGGAATCGGGAATGGTTCGTTTTCTTTGTGCTTCATACCATGGATTTTCATTGGAAGGAAAGATTCTATTCCTAAAAAAAAGAAAAGTATACTGGAAAGAGAAACACAATCATTATATATCACAGTATTCATCAAACCAAAGTTTTTTCATTTTCTCAGTGTCTCTACAGGAAGGAAGGAGAAGAATCTGGTGGGAATAGAAAAATAGGGAAAGCAACTTTGAAAGGAATGTACATGTAAAAAGTAATTGCAGGTGGAAGTGGAGGCGGAGAGTGAGCAGAGGTGTGGGATGAGCGAATGAGAACAGCAGTATTGTTAGCATAGGCTGCCATAGAATAGGGGCACATTGAGTTCTGACAGCCCATGCTACTTCCCTTCTGTTCTGGAAACTGGGGTCCAAATTCATGCCAAGAAGAAAACCTACACCTAATATATTAATATTCTCAAGTATTAATTCTAAATAACAATTGAAATCCAAATTTGCATGTGTTGTGTTAATAAAAATGAATAGCATATCATTAAAATCAGTAAGTAAAATTTAACATGTAAGCCACAGGGTATATAACCCTTTTGAAGAGTTTTGACACTGACAATATTTTATAAATAGTACATGGCAGTAGCTGTTAAAAATAAATGAATATTTGTAGTTGTTAGAAGTAAAAAAAAAAAGCCTCTAAAAATATCACTGCTAACACAAACCACTCTTTGGAACAATTGATTACCTCTTCTAACTAAATTAGTGCTTTTTCTAAGCCTTCTATAAAGACAGGCTCTTAAAGACATGGGACTTTGTCATATGGGGGATATCTGTCCCAAAGTTAATCTTATGAACATCAAGTCTAAATTAGGTACCACTTTGAGGGACATAAACCCAGCTATATAGTTGACATGGCTGACATGGAGAAAGCATCCCAGTTCAGGGACAGTAAGGAGAAACATACTTAGTTCCCATAAAAAGAAGAGGGTTTTGCCGTCCACTTTGTAGCCACACAGAGATGCAACCTATGCCAGCCAGAGCCCACTTCAGTTAGAATGTTTGTACTCTGTGAGGTAAAATGGGGAGAACACCAATAAAAACTGACTATGTCAGGCTGGGTTTGTGGCTCAAGTGGTAGAGCACTCGTTTAGCAGGTGTGAGGCACTGGATTCAAACTCAGCATCACATAAAAATGAAATACAGATATTGTGTCCACCTAAAACTAAAAAATAAATATTAAAAAACCTGATTACGTTATTAGTTTTTAGTGTTTTTTTTTCCCCTAACTATAAGGTTCTTTTCCACAGCCTGTTTTCATTTTGGAGTTCCGCTGTGATGAACACACTATAACACCATGAACTTCTCAAAGTGCTTTGCCAGCTGTGCTTTCTTCATTCTGTGAGGCATTTCCCCTCCCAAATTTGTTTTCAAATAGAAAAAAAAAGAATAGATCACAGCTTTTCTCTTTTTTTGTCGTTTTTGTTTTTTGGGATATCGGGTATTGAACTCAGGGACACTCAACCACTGAGCCACATCCCCAGCCCTATTTTGTATTTTATTTAGAGACAGGGTCAAACTGAATTGTTTAGTGCCTTGCTTTTTGCTGAGGCTGGCTTTGAACTCATGATCCTCCTGTCTCAGCTTCCTAAGCTGGGTTTATATGTGTGCACCCTGTGCCCGGCTCTTTTTTCCTTCCTTCCTTCCTTCCTTCCTTCCTTCCTTCCTTTCTTTCGTTCTTTCTTCTTCTTCTTTTTTTAACGGTTGTTGTAGTTTGTATTTTAAATGTCCCCCAAAGGCTCATATGCCAAAGGCTTGGTCTCCAGCCTGTGGAATTTGTGAAGACTTTAGGAGGTGAGGCATGGAGAGAGGAACGTAGGTCATTGAGGCCATGCCCTTGAAGGGGTATTAGGAATCCTGCCCTGTCTTCCCTCTTTTTTTCTTCCTGGCTGTGATGAGATACATAGCTTTGCTCCACTGTATACTTCCTGCAACGGTGCTCTGCCTTGCCACAGGTGCAAAGTGATAGGGCCAAGCAACCATAGATTAAAACTTCTGAAAATGAGCTCATATCAACTTTTCCTTACATTTAAAAAAAATTCTTGTTTTTAGATACACATGACAGTAGAGTGTTTTTTGACATATTTTGCACGTATGGGGTGCAAACCATTACAATTTTGATCCCATTCTTGTGGTTGAACATGTTGTAGAGTTACACTGGTTATGTATTCATACATGAGCACAAAAAAGTCATGTCCCATTCATTCTACTGTCTTTCCTATTCCCCTTCCCTTTATCCTTCTTTGTCTAATCCAGTGAACTTCTATACTTCTCCTCCCCACCCTCTCTTGTCAGGGTTAGAATCCACATATCAGAGAGAATATTTGATCTTTGGTTTTTGGGGGACTGGCTTATTTAACTTTGCATGATATTCTCCAGTTCCATCCATGTAAAACCAGCAAATGCCATAATTTCATGCATCTTTGTAGCTGAATAAAATTCCATTGTGTATATATGACATAGTTTCTTTATCTATTCATCTGTTGAAGGGCACCTGGGTTGTTGGTTCTGTAGCTTGGCTATTGTGAATTGAGCTGCTATAAGAATTCATATGGCTGCATCACCATAGTATGCTGATTCTAAGTCCTTTGAATATAAGCTGAGAAGTGAGATAAATGGGTCAAATGGTGATTCCGAGTTTATCTCCATACTACTTCCAGAGTTGTTACACCAATTTGCAGTCCCAACAGTAATGCACGAGTGAGTGGTTTAACTTCAATATTTTGTCATAGCAATAGAAAGCTGACTAATACAATTGTTCTGTACATAAGAATTTGCTTCTAGAAGTGCTTTTTAGGAATGGAGGGCATTTCCATTTAGAGAAATACTCAGGCAAAATTTATTATATTAAAATATTAATATATTTTTTCAGATTATGACATCCAAATATTTGTTCAAATGTAATTAAGAATTTAAAGCCTTGGAGGCTTGCTCTTGAAACCAGCAGCCTTGTAAGGAAAACCAAATAAGCTCTTACCGGGAGACCACTTGTAAAAAACCAGTCAGGATTCTAACAAACAAGGATTGCCATCTGACGGACAAGTGAGTGAAGATGTCTCCTTAGAAGTCTAGCCCCTACCCAGACAGTCATTTCCAGCTTTTAAAAAAAAATTTTTAGTTGTAGATGGACACAATACCTTTATTTTATTTATGTATTTATTTTTATGTGGTGCTGAGGATCAAACCCAGTGCCTCTCACGTGTGAGGCGAGCACTCTACCACTAAGCCATATCCCCAGCCCTCATTTCCAGCTTTTGACCACTTCCCAGCTAAAAACCCAGACCTTATGAACAAGCCATCTTTGCCTTCTCCAAGTTCCTTACCTACAGAATCAGTGAGCATAAAACACAGTTATTTTATGCCACAAATTCTGTGATGGTTTGTTGTGTAGCAATAGTAACTGGAGCATGCACAGAAAGCAAGCAGATTTCACCCCATTCTTCCACTCAAAACCTCCCTGCTCACCTCTCCATACTGCATGTGCACCAAAATGCTCTTCTTTGTGATAAAAAGTATCATCCCAAAGAGATTTAGCCTTTCTTCCAAACCTTATTGGCTCACCAATTCCCAGATTCTTTAAGGAATAGTAACATAAATGCTTAGACTTCTGAGAAACTCACCCAATACTCATCCCAAGTACTTTAGCTACTTCTGGTTCATAAACAGCATAAATGAACATAATTAAAGGCAGCTGAGTGATGGCAGATAATGTTGAGACAAAATTTTTAGTAATGTGAACTAGCAATGATAGTAGACACTTAATAAGGACATAGAAAACAAATTTCTCTTAGATATTCATAACTACCACAATATAGAGTTTGTAGTAAAAGGCAAATTTATTATTACATAATATTTCACATCCCTACATATTCTTGTAACAAATTTCTACCAACGTTATTATAGACAACACTGGGGGAAAGGTTAAAGATCATGGTTTGGAGACGTAGAGAAATTTGGATTTGGAATCACCTCCATTTACTTACTTTGTGACTTTGAATGTATTATTTAACAGTTCTCAAGTCCTTGTTTATTTCTGCACTAAAAAAAGAAAGATAAAAATACTTACTTTGATAATCTTATATCAAATAGATTATTTGGAATTTTGGGTTAGAAATCTGAGATACAAATAGAAACATAGGTTTTTGGTACTATGTTAAAATATACTTCCAAAAGCCAATTATATAAAGTTTAATAATTGTGATGAAACATTAAGAAGCCTATAATTATTTGTTCTCAGAGTAATACCAATTTATTCTGAGTTAATTCAGGTGGGGATTTTAGAGTACATGATCAAATACAGAAGCAAGTTTATTAATACTTTCCAGTAAAGGAAAGTTGGGGGATATTAAAGTCATCTTTATAAAACTCACAGTTTGTAGTGTAGTTTAGAGTGAATTTCCTTAAAGACTAATGATAGATTTTCAGGTAAAAATGTAAGACAAAATGGGAGACAGGGAGGGGAGATGCTTCTTTTTTCATTATTCTCTATAAAGAAAGACATGTATTCATAGATTCACTTATTTTATTATCTAGCATACATATATAGTCATTATCTTCAAGCACATACTCACACTCTCACTGCAGTCCATTGTGGGGGTACAAACTGTAAATCTGTCTGGCAAAGAGCATAAGAAGATGGCATTCCCAGAAGAGCTGAAGGCATGTTTTACTCAGCCTTTTCTGTCACTGTGACCAAAAGACCTGACAAGAACAATTTTAAAGGAGGAAATGTTTATTTTCGGATCATGGTTTTAGAGGTATCAGTCTATAGATGGCCATCTCCAGTACTCTGGACCCAAGATGAGGTAGGACATGATGATGGAAGGGTATGGAGGAGAAAAGACCCTCAGAACATGCCCACCGGGAAGGAGAAAGATAGAGGGAGAGAGGGGGAGAGAGAGAGAGAGAGAGAGAGAGAGAGAGAGAGAGAGAGAGAGAGAGAGAGAGGAAGAAATGAGGGGGGTATTTTTCTTCTTAACAAGGACAAAATATATACCCTAAAGGCACACCCAATGACCCACCTCCTCTAGCTACACTCTGCCTGCCTAAAGTTACCACCCAGTGACTCTCTATCAGCAGATTAATGCATCATTTAGGTTAAGACTCTCATAACCCAATCATCTCACCTGTAAACTTTTTAATATTGTCTCACACATGAGCTTTTGGGGAACACCTCATATCTAAACCATAATACATGTGGTTTTGTTTATTTAGAAAATAAAAATAAATACAGTTTTTAATCTTTTGAAGTGGACATTAAGTTTGTATATTAGTTCACATTGCTTTACTTTTGTGAAATATTTCTCAATAACACCCCTGCACGTATATGAGGATATATGTTTTATATATATATATGTATATATATAAAACATATATATATATATATATATATATATATATATATATATAAAAACATGCATGCACACACATATGGAGAGAGAACAACCTTCAGAAAATAAGAATATTAATATTCCTATGTGTTTGGTTATATTGTGAAACTGGTAGGTAACTGTAAAGGTTAATTTTAACAGTGAGGTGTTATACCAACTGAATGCTTGGTTTATGGAGTCCTTCTTCCAAATATAATTGTGATTACTAGTGATGATTAATACTTTCATTTTTATACTAAGGACACCTGTTAGTATTGCTCAATTGTGGGAATCATAACTCTACTGATCACTCCAACAGGAAATGCTTTCTTTATCCTTAGAGTTCTTATGATATTGTTCTGTTTCATTCATATAATACTTGAGCTCGACTATCTTTCTTTCTAGAGACATTTGAGATCATATTCCAATTTCCCATTAGCTACCTCCGTATAATCATAAGCTCTCTGAAAATCCTGTGCATAATTTTTATCTCCTCAAGAGCCAGTACAGAACTTTGTCTACTTTAAAATAGGTTAAGTATTTGGAATATATGTATAAATGTTCTTATTTTCTACTTACAAGCTAAAAGACCCTTAACAATATGAAGTGATCTTTCCTTTAAAGAATAATGAGAATGAGCAGTGGATTAGGAACCCAGAACTTGGGCTTTGCTTTAACTAGCTCTAGGTGTTGGTGTTAACTTTCACATTAAGACCTCTTAATTTTCCTCTGTACAACCTGAAGGTGTAAACAATGACCAAGAATATTTTACTGTGAGTAAGATTAATTTTTATACATGTCTTTTTTCCTCTCAGATTTCCTGTGGTTAAATTGAGGTCCAGGGGCTGTCAAAGCTATTTCCTTCCTCAGGCTTTGGTCCTGGTAATAACAGTATTTTTGACACACTGAGGCTTAGTTGGAAATGATATTGTAGGAAATGGTGTCCCAATCCTGATGTGAGAGCTGGATGTTGTCTTGCCAGGCACCTCTGAATGCTTTTTAAAGTGAAGAAAGAAAAATAAAACTTTCCTGAGAATCTCACCTTTTAAAAAGCTTTTCTATGACATTCCTGGTAAATCGAGTCTGTGCTGAATTTGTGATCAGTGCCAATTTAAAAATTGATAGTGAAAACTAAAGTACATATATCAGGCTCAATTGTGTGCCCCCAAATATTGAAGTCCTTACCTCTACTACCTGAGAATAGGACCTTATTTGGAGATATGAGCTTTAAAGAGCTAAGTTAAAATAAGTTCATTAGGATGGGCCCTAATCCAACATGACTGGGCTCTCTAAAGAGCACATTAAGACAAATGCATATGGAGGAAAGACGGTCCGTAGAAGAAACCAGCCCTGCTGATGAGATGGTCCCAGATTTCTAACCTGTAGAACTACAAGAAGATAAACTTTTGTT